ACATGTGCACAATAACATAATGCAGAAGTCTATCATTAATATTCAAACAACCAACCGTTTTAACACAATGACCCTGCATTTCTGGTATAACCATAGTAGCTAATGCCATCTCCCGGTCATATGGAAAGTCCTCTGGGATATTTGAAAAACACAATTTTTGGCCCTCATACTTCATATTAGCTACATTCAACCAATCAGTAGGTTTCAATCTTATTCTTCTCTTGTTTAGCTCACTGAGCAAATATCCATTTCCAAAAATCTTCAGATTTGAATAAAAAACTTTGATTAAATCCGGATAGTAGGGTCCCTACAATGTAAGAAATTCGACCACCCCTTGAAATAGAAGATGATTTTGGAAAAATAACCCTGAACCGGCAAATGATTCAAAATTCGTTATCTTTGGACCAACAATACTCCTTGTATAGAAATCAGCTGCATATTTTTCCATTTGATGGCTGTGAGTGAAGAAACGACGCCAATCTAATCGTTCCTCTACAGATGGTCTGACATGGGTTGCATCTTCTGCCTCAGTGAGGGTTTCTTTTCCCTTACGACTTTTTCTTGGCCTTTTGGTTGATGATGAGGCCATTTGACAATTTCTTCAACAAAGGAAATGATGAAAACAATAATAAAGTAAGTTATTTGAAATTATTTATATTTGAAAATAACAACAAGGAAGGACAAACCGTAACATCGTAACCATAACCATAACTTAAAAATTCAAGATGGATGGAAAATCAATAAGTCATCATTACATCACAAATACATTATTGAATATAATAGTCATACAACTAGTCAGATAAGACTTCCTAACAGTCACCTCCTGAGATCATTTTACATAATTTATTCCACTGCTTGTGTGGTGGAAGTCCCATCAACCTCTTTGTACATGTGGGGTTTCCACATAAGAAATCATAACATTGCTCTAGCAAATTTTCATCAGCAATGTTCATAGCACTCAACATTTCATAAATGTCTGCCTCTGTATATGTGTAATTCGGGGTGCGACGAAGGATCTTCGTTTGGGAACGTAGTATTTGATTTCTATCTTCCATTGCTAAGACTTGACGCACAGCTGCATCAAAAATTACACCAAAATGTACATTTGATGAGCTTAGGACATTTGTGAAACCATCGAGGCTGGTCGTCAACTTATCAAATTGAGAATCAATTACATCGACCATAGGTGCCTTTCTTTTCGAGCCTCGTGAGGATGAAGTTCCACCGGATGGGACGGAAGACACAGATTGAGTCTGTCCTGGACTATATTCATCCATAGATGGAGGAGGTGATGGTGGAGTTGGGTCTCTATACCCCATCCACTCAGGCTGTTTTGGAATGTACTCAATATTTTGATTCAAATCAACACTGACACGAGGTCCAACCCGCTGTCGACGTTCTTGACGAGCGGTCCGAACACCACTCCTAGTAGCTCGATCAATAGCCCATAACTCCACCATTAAATCGTAATGTTTCATACTATTAACTCTCCACTTTGTAGCAGTTGGCCTCGACTGAAACAACAAATAGAACAAACACACTAGTTCATATTATATATTATAAGGATCCACAACATCTTAGTATTTTTAAGGGTTAAATATGTTTTTGGTCCCTTAACTTTCGGTGAAAATTGGAATTAGTCCCTCTTCAAAACTTTGGACTAGTTTAGTCCCCAAACTTTAGAAATGTGTGAATTTAATCCTTTTAACCAAATTTTGTTAACTTTATTTGATGTTTCAAACGCATTTCTTAGTTAACATTGAAGCAAAAATGTGTCAAACGGTGTAAATAACTCAAATGCTATCATGAAACGCACTTGAAACATTAAATAAACCTAACAAAATTTAGTTAAAAAGACTAAATTCACACATTTTTAAAGTTTGGGGACTAAATTAGGCCAAAGTTTTGAAGAGGGACTAATTCCAATTTTCACTAAAAGTTAAGGGACCAAAAACATATTTAACCCTATTTTTAAAAATACCTGAATCAGGTCCATCCAAACTTCGTCCTCAACATGAAAGGTCATACTAACCGGGTTCCACACAAATCCACTCAATCTAGAAAACAGGTCATGTACCTCACGCCATTTATCTTTCAACACCTTCTAATGATTTTTAACATTATTTTTCGTAATTGTGACATACCCAGAGCTATGAAGATGATCAACTATGTTACTATATGCTTGGGATGTCCAACTTCCGTCAACCCTATTACCGATTCGTGATTCCTCAATCATAAAGTGTAAAAGACGTGTGTCCATGTCCTATGTCCACTTCATGAACTCTCTAGTAGGACCAGAGGACTCAATGGCGGCTGCCTTACCTCTGTTCATTTTATACCTAGTTCATAAACAAAATTGTAAGAAGTTAACATTAAACATCATTTATATNTACAGGGTTGTCATGATGGTCTGGTTGCTCTTCTTCTTCATCATCACCGACATCGTGTTGCCAAACACCGTTGACATTAACAATATTCAACCTCTTCAAAGAATTAATTGAAAAATGATGTCGGGTCCCAATATGAGTGCTGGCATCGACATCAACATGAACTCCACAATATTGCATGATCTGTGTGATAAGGACACCGTATGGTAGGGGTGTGTCACTGGCCTTGCATTTAATCATATGCTGCATGATGTGATGGGGCCAATTGATAGCTATATTATTTTTAAGCACCCATATCATAAAGATATCTTCTTGCAATAACCTAGCAAAATTCCCTGGCCGTGGAGTCAACATGTGCACAATAACATAATGCAGAAGTCTATCATTAATATTCAAACAACCAACCGTTTTAACACAATGACCCTGCATTTCTGGTATAACCATAGTAGCTAATGCCATCTCCCGGTCATATGGAAAGTCCTCTGGGATATTTGAAAAACACAATTTTTGGCCCTCATACTTCATATTAGCTACATTCAACCAATCAGTAGGTTTCAATCTTATTCTTCTCTTGTTTAGCTCACTGAGCAAATATCCATTTCCAAAAATCTTCAGATTTGAATAAAAAACTTTGATTAAATCCGGATAGTAGGGTCCCTACAATGTAAGAAATTCGACCACCCCTTGAAATAGAAGATGATTTTGGAAAAATAACCCTGAACCGGCAAATGATTCAAAATTCGTTATCTTTGGACCAACAATACTCCTTGTATAGAAATCAGCTGCATATTTTTCCATTTGATGGCTGTGAGTGAAGAAACGACGCCAATCTAATCGTTCCTCTACAGATGGTCTGACATGGGTTGCATCTTCTGCCTCAGTGAGGGTTTCTTTTCCCTTACGACTTTTTCTTGGCCTTTTGGTTGATGATGAGGCCATTTGACAATTTCTTCAACAAAGGAAATGATGAAAACAATAATAAAGTAAGTTATTTGAAATTATTTATATTTGAAAATAACAACAAGGAAGGACAAACCGTAACATCGTAACCATAACCATAACTTAAAAATTCAAGATGGATGGAAAATCAATAAGTCATCATTACATCACAAATACATTATTGAATATAATAGTCATACAACTAGTCAGATAAGACTTCCTAACAGTCACCTCCTGAGATCATTTTACATAATTTATTCCACTGCTTGTGTGGTGGAAGTCCCATCAACCTCTTTGTACATGTGGGGTTTCCACATAAGAAATCATAACATTGCTCTAGCAAATTTTCATCAGCAATGTTCATAGCACTCAACATTTCATAAATGTCTGCCTCTGTATATGTGTAATTCGGGGTGCGACGAAGGATCTTCGTTTGGGAACGTAGTATTTGATTTCTATCTTCCATTGCTAAGACTTGACGCACAGCTGCATCAAAAATTACACCAAAATGTACATTTGATGAGCTTAGGACATTTGTGAAACCATCGAGGCTGGTCGTCAACTTATCAAATTGAGAATCAATTACATCGACCATAGGTGCCTTTCTTTTCGAGCCTCGTGAGGATGAAGTTCCACCGGATGGGACGGAAGACACAGATTGAGTCTGTCCTGGACTATATTCATCCATAGATGGAGGAGGTGATGGTGGAGTTGGGTCTCTATACCCCATCCACTCAGGCTGTTTTGGAATGTACTCAATATTTTGATTCAAATCAACACTGACACGAGGTCCAACCCGCTGTCGACGTTCTTGACGAGCGGTCCGAACACCACTCCTAGTAGCTCGATCAATAGCCCATAACTCCACCATTAAATCGTAATGTTTCATACTATTAACTCTCCACTTTGTAGCAGTTGGCCTCGACTGAAACAACAAATAGAACAAACACACTAGTTCATATTATATATTATAAGGATCCACAACATCTTAGTATTTTTAAGGGTTAAATATGTTTTTGGTCCCTTAACTTTCGGTGAAAATTGGAATTAGTCCCTCTTCAAAACTTTGGACTAGTTTAGTCCCCAAACTTTAGAAATGTGTGAATTTAATCCTTTTAACCAAATTTTGTTAACTTTATTTGATGTTTCAAACGCATTTCTTAGTTAACATTGAAGCAAAAATGTGTCAAACGGTGTAAATAACTCAAATGCTATCATGAAACGCACTTGAAACATTAAATAAACCTAACAAAATTTAGTTAAAAAGACTAAATTCACACATTTTTAAAGTTTGGGGACTAAATTAGGCCAAAGTTTTGAAGAGGGACTAATTCCAATTTTCACTAAAAGTTAAGGGACCAAAAACATATTTAACCCTATTTTTAAAAATACCTGAATCAGGTCCATCCAAACTTCGTCCTCAACATGAAAGGTCATACTAACCGGGTTCCACACAAATCCACTCAATCTAGAAAACAGGTCATGTACCTCACGCCATTTATCTTTCAACACCTTCTAATGATTTTTAACATTATTTTTCGTAATTGTGACATACCCAGAGCTATGAAGATGATCAACTATGTTACTATATGCTTGGGATGTCCAACTTCCGTCAATCCTATTACCGATTCGTGATTCCTCAATCATAAAGTGTAAAAGACGTGTGTCCATGTCCTATGTCCACTTCATGAACTCTCTAGTAGGACCAGAGGACTCAATGGCGGCTGCCTTACCTCTGTTCATTTTATACCTAGTTCATAAACAAAATTGTAAGAAGTTAACATTAAACATCATTTATATATAATTTAACTTGTCATACCCATAACATGAAATACTCATACAACACAATAAAATACAATAACTACGAGTTTTGATAATCTCGCCACATATGATCTGCTATAGAATCCCTGATACTACTACCAATCCTATGGTCCTCTTCTCTAACTTGAGATGATGAAACATTATGGTGTTCCCTTTCATTCAACTCATTATCAACTTCATCAAGTAATGAGTCATCGTTATCCACGCCACGAAGGAAGTTGTGTAAGATACAACAAGCTAATATAATGTTTGTCATTGTCTCCAATCCATAGTGTGGTTCAGTGCCACTTGCAATGATAGGGAATCGTTTTTTCAAAACACCAAATGTTCTTTCAATAACATTTCTCAACGATGAATGTCTATGATTAAACAACTCCCGTGGATTTTGTGGTCCTCTACGTGTATATTCTTTAAGGTGATATCTTACGCCTCTATATGGAGTTAAAACTATGTTTTTCAACATAAATCCAGCATCACCGAGGTAGTATTTTCCTACAATTTTCCGCATATACACGTAATTAGTCACTACTAAATAAAATCTTCAACATCGCAATGTACACACTAACCTTCGGGGATAACCAACGGATCATCTCGATCAAGAGCATTTTTTAAAATTCTTGAATCAAATGCAGTGCCTTCCCACCCAGCAAGAACGTATGTGAATTTCATGTCAAAATCACACGCCGCAAACACATTTTGAGTTGGCCAATCTTTTCTTCCTCGAAATCTCGGAGCTTCACATCTTGGCACCTTTACCCGAACATGAGTACCGTTTATGGCCCCTAAACAATCCTAAACATAAAAATAAGAAGTCATCATATTAATCAAAATTTCTTATCATCTTTTGATCAAATAACATCTACAAATATGTTCAAATGAGTACCTTAAAGTACGGGTAAAATCGATTGTTGTTCAAGACATATGGATGAACCTCATTTCCTGAGGGTTGAATTAGAAATTCAGATTCTAAAGTTAAAATGCTAACCGTCGAACTAGATCGATGAAAGAAAAATGCGACACTTCAATTCTTAACATTATGGCCAATTATATGAAGAAATTGAGCAACTTGTTGCTCCACTGTCTACCGAATGGCGTCCTTAACTAACCCTGTTGATCTTAGTCTCTCACAAAGATGAATAAATGCCTCTGGACCCATCCTAATAATGTCGCGACACCGATTAGTATGCACAAGATATGACATTAATTGCTCCCTACGATGGTCTCTGTCTGGTAGGTAATTGCTTACACTACTCGAATCACTGGAGTACATTTTCAAGATACTCAACGCATGTGCAACAATACATAACATTGTTAGTGCAACCAATGAAGTGGTTATTTGTAATTGTCGACGTATCATTGCGATAATATTGAAGTCTACACCAACCACATCATCATCTATATCTTCTCGGTCCAAATATGATAAATCTATATATTCATCCATCTAGATTTACTTAAACAATTACACATATAGGTAATCAAAATCATGCATTCATATATTTATTAAACATAATTCATATATACATTAATACATTCAACTAATCATTATAAATAAACAACAGTAAATAACCTAACAGAACAACAACATTTCATTTCTTTATTATCAACTACATACATATACATATAACAAATCAAATTCTTATTTAAAATAATTATACATTCATATATTAAATAACAGAGAAATATAAATCAACATAATACATTCCATTCATATATTGAACCCCGTCAAGCTACAAATAGCCACCACTGATTCCATGATTCATATATATATATATATATATATATATTATGGTCAACTTAACTTTAGAACACTTACCTCTTGAAGACCTTCAACCCGTATGCACACTTCAAGCTGGATTAAGCAAAAAAATTCCACAAATGACGGGCACTAGGATTTTTCGTCCAATCACGTAACCAATTTGTCCTTATGTAGATGCTACGTTCAATTCTCAATTTACAAAATCACTCTTAAACAAACCTAACCTGCAAACATAAATATATCAGTTGATTAGATAAGAACCTCATTTTTCAATGCTTGCACAAGATTGAAAATAAGTTTGAATGTTACATTTTCAAATGTACCACTTTGCTCCACTGATGCACCATAGTCCCCCACTTTCACAACCAACCACACAGCCACGTCTTTCCTACCAATGCAACTGTATCAAAAGTGTAAAAAAAGTGGTTAAGAACTCATACTTAAATTATCCAAGTCATGATCATTTGCTTTCATTTTCAACAAACAAAAACAAAACACCAATACAATACCAAGTACACACAATGATGGTGTTGATGAACCTCCACCACCTTTCGTAGCTCACACCGCTCCACGACGTTGCCAATCTCCACCACCTTCACGCACGTACGTCCACCACGATCACGATATGTCCAACCACTCAACACCTGCATCACAAACACACTGTTAGAGGTGATCGTTATTCAGCCACCACCAGTCACTCCTCTACATGGACTACACATGTTTCACTCCTCATCATCATTCTCTTGCTTCCTTCTCCAACTTCGTTTCTCATCAGATCGTTGCTTCAATCTCCACCTTCTTATCTCTCAGATGGCCTCCGCCACCTTCACGACGTCCTCCATAATAGCCTCCACCGAAACCTTCTCATTGCCTACGAAGAAGACCGTTTGCTAAGCTTCTGTTCACCACATAACCACTCACCCCTCCCCGTAACCAAATTTGCAAACATTTTCCTTGCCGTGTAACCAGATACCTCTTTGAGGTAACCGAATACCATTGTAACCGCATAACTTCATACCACTGTAACTGCATACTTCTCTGCTGTAACCGATTATGCCACCCTCTTCCTACTGTTCATCGTCTTCTTCACCTCCCAAACACGCGGATTCATCTTCATCTTCAACCCGCAGCTTCTTCATGCCATCAACACGCACACCGTCCTTCTTCTGTAACCGATTAGGCCACCCTATGCGTACTGTTCATCATCTTCTTCGCCTCTCAAACACGCGGATTCATATTCCTCTTCAACCCACAACTTCTTCATGCCATTAACAAGCACAATGTCCTTCTTCCTCCCCGTATACAACCCTGCAAATGAAAACCAACAATATGTGCTTGAACATACATCACACTATCTTACTAACCTCACCACTTTGTCTTCGTCGACTCAGCAAAACAGCCAACAAGGCTCTCTTCGCACACACCTTTCAACACTAGCAACCAATATATTATGCTTCTGATCACTCAATAAATAAAATGACCTACCCACTAGCAACTACATATTTGAAGTCCGTCTTCTGGTCAATGGCGCTTTGATATCCATACTGCACTATCACTGTGTCTGGCTGCAGGAATCTTTACTGTTGAATGGCTGTATGAAGCAAGGTAACATTAGCTGAGGAAAGCTTCAGGAATATTTCTGTAGGCACGCTACCACGCCAACCCAAGCACTCTCGTGCATGTACAGTAGTAAAGGTAAAAGCCTGATGTTATCAAATTTTTTAATATTAACCCCTTCGAATCGGTTCTGCTTATTGCACTGTGCTAGGGAATCAGTTGTAAATGGTAAATTCATATACAGGGATGGAATTTAGCAAATAGGACGAGGGCACACATGACTTTTCGCTTACAATCCGCGCAAATCTCTTCTCATACGCAAGTGACGAAAATTCGATGAATCCTCTAAATCCATCGTCGTTGATCCCTCATAATCCTCTCAAACGAACAACACACCGTACTGAATTCATCGCTCGCAATTTCGCATGAACACTGTCATCCGTTCATGCGAACACGACATAACTTAAATTCTAAGTTACATGAATGTTTACGGATGGAAATATTATTACAATGTTTTTTAAAAATTTGTTTCGATCATTTTCTTTTGGTAAATCTGTCAATTTGATCAAATATACCATGTTGATCAAGACGTACATGAATGGGGACAAAAAAAGTTATATGACTAGAAAACTAAACAAAAAGTCCACATGATTAAAATGACAACAAAAAGACGTACATGAATAGGGACAAAAGAAATTATATGACTAGAAATCTCATATAAAAAAAGTCCAGACTAAAATGAGAACAAAAGTCCTGAAACAAAGTTGATAGATTGGTTTATTCAAGTTAGTCTTAGGTTAATATAGGCAAAGTTAAATCAAGTCCAAATTAACCAAGTTGTTTAGCTTGGATTTAAGTTTGGTTGCGTCTAGATAAGGTTAGATCGTGTTGTTGAGTCGAGTTAGGCCCACAAAATGTTTAGTCAAATCAGGTCTTTATAAGGTCTAGATAAGCATACTTCAAGATGAGGCGAATTAGACACACTTCGTATATCAAGTTGAGTATGGTTTACTCAAGTTCAATTAAGTCGAGTTAAATCAAGTTGTACTCATCTTAAGCCTAGTCGAGTTGGGTCTGCATTAGGCCAATTAGAATCAAGTCTATGTTGGACAAATAAAGTTAAGTTTACATTAGGTTGAATCAAGTCAAGCCACATTGGACTAAGTTTAGTTAAACCACCCACCTTGGATTGAGACAAGCCAAATCTATGTCAAGCTAAGTCAAGTTAAGTTAGACACACGTCCAATCGAGTTGTCATAGGCTCACATCAGGTAGTGTAAAGTCAGGCCCACCTCAAATTGAGTCATACTAGGCTTGCCTAAGGTAAAGTTAAGTATGACCTACCTTAGGCAAAGTCGACTCAGCTCACCTCGAGCCAAGTTGAATCAAGCCCACATTGGATCAACTAGAGTTGTGTTCGTGTCTGCTTCTTTATTTGTGTTCCTTTTCGTGTTTGTGTTAATATCCTTATAAATGTCAATGTTAGTGTTTGTATCCATGTTCGTGCTTGTGCCCGTGTCCATGTCTGTGTTCATATTTGTGTTGGTGTCTGTTGAAATAATTGACCAACACTAGAAGGGGGGATTGAATAGTGTTAATGGAAAAATTCTTTTATCAACTTTTTTGATATAGCACATTGTAGAGGTTTACGATTTTCTTTTGAATACTTAGACACTACCTAATAAAAGATTATATCAAGAAGTGCTTTTATCATGCTATTCAGAATGTACACTACAGAGTTTATAAGAACTTCCTATGTTTAATAGTAATAGTTTAGCTTGGAAGGTTCTTACATTTAGAAATAAAAACACATCTCACAGATTTTGTAAAAGAAGCGTTTCGACAAGAAAGAAAGTAAGTGCACAAATATTTTTATACTGGTTCACTTTAACTAAGTTGTCCAGTCTCATCTGTAGAAGATTTCACTATAATCCTCCACAAAGGATTCCACTGTATAAATTAACAAAAATATTTACTTTTTATAAATGATAGAACAACTATACTAAAACATCAATTTTGGTCTCCCAATTAAAGAAAAGTTTAATAATATAAATCTATCATACTTTCTGTTTTACATCATAATTGTGTATAAGATATATTTCACTTTGAAAACGAATATAAATTTATTAATTTTATATCGACGTAATCAATTTATAAATATTAACAATTTATGTTATTATACAAATATTTAGAAA